AGCCCCCTCATGATACTGCACTGCTGAGTGTTTAAAGACACATTTGTGACCATAAAGCCAGGCTTTAGAAACCATCACATTAAGTTTGGCCGATAGAAGGATGTCTTGTTTGATTATATTAAGCCTTTTTTTTTTTTGTCTCTTTCTCGTTTGTGTACAGAGCAAGATTTGAACTCCTTTGCTCTCCACTCTTTAATAAATGCATAGAAGCAATCAGACAACTCTTAGCTCAAAGTGGATTCACAACAGATGATATCAACAAGGTAATGCTTTATATTTACATGCATTAAAAAAAATCATTTTATTGGGGGGCTCGTGCAGTTATGATCACAATCCATACATACATACATACATTGGGTCAAGCACATTTGTACATTTGTTGCCATCATCATTCTCATTTACATGCATTTTTAATGATAATTGAATTTTGGGTAAAAGTGTAATTTACACAGTGAGTTAGGTTCTTAGTTACAATTTCTGTACAATTGTTTGGTGACATTAGTTACGTTTTACATGATGTCTCAATATTCTCTGTGTGGTACTCTCGTTTCTGTGTCCCCTCCTTATCGTCTCATCTTTGTTTTTAAGAAATGGATAGCCTTGGGGTTTCATGCTGGCATCTCTAAAGAAAGGCGCTGAGCTTAGGGGCAATGCCCTGTGTTTGGGTGCTGCTCTGCTCTTTGATGAAAGGTGGTCTGGGGAGAAGCTCGGCTCCAGATGTAGAGGAGTCTCGGGCTCCTCGGGGCGCTACTGTTTGAGTTTGTCTGTTTTTGTCTTTATAATTAAGAATTTGAGTTCTCCATATTTTACTCCTGTTCTACCTGGGCCATCTATTGTGGCCCCTTCCACATAATACTTCTCTATTTACGTAGTTATTTTAGGAGTATTTTCAAAATTGCTATTAGATGGCCCCTTGGTTCCTATGAGAAAATTGTTATGTATTTATAGATTTTGTAAGCTTGGTTGAAGTAGTAAAGAAAATTGATTAAATATTGATTAATGACTGTTGAACTCATAGCTAATGTATATGTAGTTTTCTAGCAAAACAATTCTTTCCAGTCTATTTGTGTGTATGTGAATAAAGGCTGGTAGATCTTTGAGGACTAAATATTGCAAGGCACTGTCTCTAAGTGCTTTAAGTAACCCAACTCATTGGATACTCATCAATAGCTCTGTGAGAGAGTCGCTATTACTAATTTTCATCGATGAAATTAATAATTTCCATCAGTAAAGTGATGGTGTATTAGTGAAGCACTCAGCTGCTAACTGGAAGGTCAGTGGTTGGAGCCCGGCTTCCACTCCACAGGAAAACGCTGTGGCAGCTGGCTTCCATGCAGATCACAGCCTTGGAAACCCTAGGGCAGCGCTTCTCAACCTGTGGGCCGTGACCCCTTTGGGAGTCAAACGACTCTTTCACAGGGACCGCCTGATTCATAACAGTAGCAAAATGACAATTATGAAGTAGCAACGAAAATAAATTATAGTCCATTTTCATTATGAAAGTAATTTTCATACAAGGAAATTCAGAAAATAGGAAAAGGCAACCAGCGCCACATCACTACTTTGCATACAGAGGCTTCTTTTCTAGCTATAGTAGTTTCTTTTCATCAACAACTTGGATTTTGTATATGTAATTTTGAACTTTTTTTTTTTGGTATAATCTTGTAACAATTTCCTTTTTCCCCCAGATTACTTGATAGCCTTCCTAACATAATTGACACATTATTCCTCATATCTTAGGAGAGCTCGCAGGCACTGGGGAGGATTTCACTGGGGATTATTGTGATGCATTTGGTCTTTTCCCCAGTAACAGGCATGTACTGTGTTTAGGATAGCTCTTAGGAGAGTCCCATGCCAAAGAGCATAGATGACTACTTTTATCTCAAGTTACTTTCCAAAAGAGTGGAATTAATATTTTTTTCAGCCATACATACAGCAAAAAAACAAACTCACTGTCCTTGAGTTGATGTTTACATTTCTCTAGTTAGTAGATTATCTTTTAACATTTATTTAATTTATTTGGTTTTGTATATACTCATTTCATATTCTTTACCTGTTAAATCTTTTCAGTGTTTTTTTAATTCTATAGAGATGCATGCTTTCTATATTAATATTAATTGCCACTTTTTGTTTAATTTTAGTCTTCTGGAGGAAAGTATTTGACATATAGAAGTTTCACTTATGCATGAGCTTAAGTCTGTTATACTAATTTCTTCGTCTGCTGCTAAGATTATAAATACCATCTCTTCATATATATGACAAATATTGTTTCTATTTCCTTTGAATTTGTCTGTTTGGAGGGTTTGTACTACTTTGGTAGGTACTGTCTGATGGAAATCTTTTCGTGTGTGTGTGTGTGTGTGTGTGTGTGTGTGTGTGTGTGTGAGAGAGAGAGAGAGAGAGAGAGATCATTTAGTACATTCAGAACACTTCCATCGTGGCAGGCAGTAAGTTCCTTTTCCGTGACTTCTCAGAGAGCTGTCACAGTTTGATAGCACAAACCATACACCTCCCAATTGCTTGAATTAAGGTTAAAGACATTCTTCGTATTCAGAATGTAGATAAGCTCTCTCACGTAGGTTTTGTTGTACTTGCCTAGGTTTGGCAGAATTTTGTCTTTTTTTTCTTTTCTTTCTTTCAAGTCCTGTTTTTCGCCTTTCTAGTTGGTTTATCTCCAGTTTTCTCTGTTTATTTTCAGACTTTCTGGGACACTTTCGTTAGTTTTCTGGATTCTTAAACTGAATGCTCCAAAACCAAATTAAACTCACTGCACCAAGTTGTTCCCAGACAGGGTCGAACAGCCACGGGGTTTCCAAGACGGAGTCTTATTGGACCAAGAAAGCCTCATCTTTGTCCGCAGAGCAGTGGGTGGTTTCACTGCTGACCTGGGGACCAGCAGCCCACCTTGTAACCACTGAGCCGCCACGGTCTCAACGCCAGCTCCTTTATTTCATTTTCACTTTTCCATAACAAAAATAAAAATAACTATAATTTTACTTTGTTCAAATAGCTGTGCCTTTACCACAGTGTGTTCCGTAAGATGTACCACAAGCTTTTTTTTTTTTTTAATCAATTTATTGGGGCTCATACAATTCATCACAATACATAGATCAATTGTGTAAAGCACATCTATACATTTGTTGCCCTCTTCATTCCCAAAATTCGCTTACCTCTTGGGTTCCCGGAATCAGCTCATTTTTTTCCCCTCCCCCTCCCTTCTTCCTCCCCCCTTCCCTCACAAGCTTTTTACAGACTGCAGTTTTGTTAGCTTTCAGAATAATCTGTAGTACGTTATAGTTTTCTTCTTGTTGTGTAGCTTATTTTCTCATTTCCAAGCAATTATGCAGTATGATTGTTTTACAGCAGTTTGGTTTCATTTTATGAAATCCAGCTAATGTATTTGAAAAGCCCTTGGTATTTTTTAAACATGTATTTTCTATTAAAATTTGTTTGCCAAAGGAATCTCATGCAGCACACAATGTTTAAGGAATTTATTTAAATTAAAATTTGCTGTTCACTGCATTAAGTTACATATTATTTAATTTATCCATTTAAATGAAACTATTCCACGATCCAAGATTATCCTGGGTTATTTCGTTTTTACAGTATGCTTGTTTACTAATAGAGCTTTTTTATGTTGAATCTGATTGAAAAAAACATACTTAATATTGTTCTTATGGAACTTACCTGAAATCATAAAATTTTAGAGAAGTCATTTCATTTACTTCCAAAACCGATCTTTTGGGGGACCTTTGCCAAGATAAACGCGTTTGTTGTTGTTTTTAATCCTTCAGCTGACGTGCCTCATGCCTTCACTGAAGATTAATATGGTATCACTCATCATTTCACACCTAATATTAAAGAGATGTGGCTTTCTTCATTTGGACCTCTGTCCTATCATGCTGATCTTTTAGAACATAGAAAGGATATTAAATAAGTGCTTGTTGATGGTTTCCTTTATTGGACTACATCTGGGCTAATATAACTATACTATATTCTGAATATACTCCTAGTATTCAGAATATAGGATGTTCACAAATGCAAAACGTATGATCTGGTCACAAATTTAAGCATTACTTGTATTACATGAAGTTCTTCAGGAGCCACAGATTCAATTGATCACTTGGTTCAAGGACTCTGAAATGTAGCTGTGGAAAGCATCTGGGTGTTTGGTTTTTTTCACCCCCAAAATTACTGTTCTCCCATATGAAGGCAAAACTCTGGAATTATTTTAAAATAAAGTGATTGGCAATATTTATTGTGTCACAAAAATATGCTATAAGACATTTTTCAACTGCTGGGACAGTGTGTTGGGCTGGTTGACTAGAGAAACAAATCCAGACATCGTATATACTCTAGTATAAGCCGACCCGAATTTCAGCCAAGGCACCTAATTTTACCACAAAAACTGCATTAAAAATGTGCTGGAAAACTCGGCTTATCCATGAGCATATATGATAATCGTACACCAAGCAAACATCCCAGCCCAGTTCCAGATCAGGGCCATAAGTCCAATGCTAGGCCATTAATCCCTTTACAGACTCATGCAGCTACATGCAATGATGCAGATTGCAGGAGATTGCAGGCCGCTGGGTGAAAGTCTTGTGGATCCAATGGTGGTGGCTGCATCACAGGGCTCGCAGCTCTCAGTGTGGCTCCATCAACTCTCCCGGTGACTCAGCAGCAGGAAGGTGCAGTCAGAGGGGGTGTGGGTGGCTCCCAGAACCCTCTTTATTAGAAGGCCACACTCACAAGGAGGTGACCTGATTGACAGGCTGGACTCCACCCCTACGTTCGATATATCAAATTGACGACCCGAAAGTATGTAACTACCACAGACTACAAAGTATTCATATATAATTATTATTCAAATGTTTATTTGAGGTTAAGCCTCATTTGCACATTATTAGTGATGAACTATATATATGTTGATGTACTGTATATTCTAATATGTGGTGAGATTTCTTGGTAAGTAAAGAACTAATGTCAAAATAATATTAAACTTAGGACTTGCATTACAAAAACAAGAAGATGGTTTGGTTTATTGCATGTAACTTTGAAAAGTGAAAATTTGAAAATGATCTTTATTTTCTAGGTTGTCCTTTGTGGAGGATCTTCTCGAATGCCAAAGCTGCAGCAGCTCATTAAAGACCTTTTTCCTGCTGTAGAGCTTTTAAGTTCCCTCCCTCCAGATGAGGTGATCCCCATGGGTGCAGCAATAGAAGCAGGGATTCTTATTGGGAAGGAAAACTTATTAATGCAAGACTCTCTTAAGATTGAATGTTCAGCCAAAGATATTTTAATTAAGGTATATACAGCTTTTCTATACTTTTCCAAAAAAAGAAAATGACAAACTAACTGCTATACATTTTTATGGCCGACAATCTTTTATCTTACATCTCAGTATTTTGATTAAATTCTTTATTTTACTTTTAATGAATTTCTTAATGTTCTTTTACTTATTATTTATCTAATATACTATTTTCTTTAAAATTATAATTGTAAGCTTCTAATATAGCTAAAGCATAGTTTAAAGTGGTTTAGGATTAGGGATCACTTCTGTTTTTTTGCCTAGCTGTAGTTTCTAGATTATCAAAGGAATATATTTGGTATTTGATTAAATATGTGAGGTGGCTTCAAAAGTTTCCTGGGAAAAATTCTATTTCTTAATTCAGTGATTCCACAAACTTTTGGAGCCCCTTGTATGAAACATTAAAATATTTAACAGTACTGAGGTAATTGTTTCTTGTGAAGATGAATACCAAATGATGTGCATGTACTTTTTCTGCTTTTTAGGGAGTGGATGAATCAGGAATCAACAGATTCACAATACTGTTTCCATCAGGAACTCCTTTGCCAGCTAGAAGGCAGCACACCTTACAAGCACCTGGAAATATATCTTCAGTCTGCCTAGAACTCTATGAGTCAGAAGGGAAAAATTCTGCAAAAGAGGAAAACAAATTTGCACAGGTGAACACAAGATCAGACTGAATTCGTGACATGAAACTTTAGTTTTTCTTTCAGCTTCAAATTCACTCCATTTAATATTTCAGTTACTACAAAATATAGTACAGACATCTAACCTTTTCACAAATGAATTATTTCTTCTTCATTTTTGAGAGAGGGAAGAAATAGGCCAATATAAGGTGTTAGGGAAAAATAACAAAATACACTTTGGATGTATACTGCTTCAGTTTGTCCTCTTGACCCTCTCCCAGCTATTTGGGAGCAAGGTAAGTGGAAGGGAAATAACATTTTTGTCGTTGTTCACTGACTGCCAGGTGCTGTATTAGGCGTCATCCCAAATGCTGTGAGATAAACATTATGGTTCCCATTTTACAGATAATTAAGAGGAGCCTTGCTATTTTCTTGTTAGCATTTTACTCTCTCATTGGCTTCTCTCACCATTGTATCCTGCTACCTCTGAAACAGGATTCGTTTGTATCCCCCAACAGAAAAAACTAAGGAGGTTTTTTCAAAATTCCACATATACATTTCATAATATATGATCGTCTGCCTCTTTCAAAAGGGGTCCTGGTGGTGCTATTGGGTAAACATTTGACTGCTGACTGCAAGGTTGTTGGTTCAAACCCACCATACTCTTCAGGAGAAAGATGAAATTGTCAACTGCCATAAACATTTACAGCCTAGTAGTATTTTTGGTTTGGGTCTTAGTTGTTTTAAAAAGACTAAGGTAGAGCCATGGTATTTATTTAAAGTGTGCCCCAAACATATAGTTGCACTAAAACGTACACAAGACCTGTAGGACTGTTTTATAGGTGACTGGGAGCCTGGGTGTGGTGGGGTGTTCGGTGGTGGTTCCAGCTCACACTGAGCCTGTGCAGCAGAATGAAACAGGGCCCGGCCCTGCGGCTGCTGCATCGCTCTGCCTTGTTGAGGGCTTCTCGTTTTCTGCAGACTCTCTAAAGGGAGAAAGTGCACGACTAAGTAGCTGTGCATTGTTCGATATTCCTGCGTGTAGAATGAAAGTATCCATACATCTTTAAACCATAATCTGAAAATCCTACAAGTGGGTGGGTTAGAAGTGCCACGAGAAGCCTTTTGCTTCTTAACCTTACACAGGGACATAGTTATATTAGAAGAGATGTGTACATACATGTATATGTACATGTGTATATGTTTGTATTCTTTTTATCTTTAATGAACCTTTCTAACAAAAGAATGATGAAGTGTGTACACACACACACACAAAATGCCTGGTCCCAGCGCAGACTTGACTTAACTCGGTCTCCTGGAGTAGCACCCTTTCAACTGAACATCTCTTAGAAGCTGCTCTAGACCACTGTGATTGATAGTGACTTAAGTACCCAACAGGAAAGTACGAAGGAGCTGTAAAAAGTCTGTGGAAAAGTTTCACGGTTTGTTAATTTCATTTTTCCACCAATTTTCTTAAGCCCTCTTGCAGTCCTTATTTTTTTGAGAGAAAGAGTATTTCTTAGAAATAATGCTTTAATTTAGGTCATGGCATTTAAGAGGGATAAGTCAGTAGTTAGTGTACATCATCCTTCTAGAGGAGGTATTACCAATTAAGAAAGCCTAACTAGTCTCTGAATGCTCTTTAAATTATTGGTAGGAGAATGGAAAACTATCCCATTTAAACTTGTTAATTAACTCTTTGGAATAATTAGTACATGAATTTAATGTACTAAATTTGTCTTTGTTGTTCTTTCTATAAACAGGTTGTACTACAGGATTTAGATAAGAAAGAAAATGGATTGCGTGATATAATAGCTGTTCTTACTATGAAAAGGTACAAAATTAAATTGCTACTAATTTAAAAATTGTCTTTAAGGCTATGCTTTTTTGCAAATTTATGTTTTTTACCCATTTTCATTCTGTACAAATCATTTATTCAAAGCTTAACAAAGATTTTAAACAACTGAGCACTGTAATCACTGCACTGCCAGGGTTAATCTTTGTACCAGAGTTGACTTACTCTGTAAGCCAAAATATCAGATATATAAGGAGGAATTTGCCTTGGCTTGAGCTCTAAAACAGCACTACGCATCTTGAATTTGTATAATTGTGCAATTTTCATATAGTCTTAAATTTAAATTTTTTATCCTTTTAAATTTTATTTTAAAATCATTTTATTGGGGCTCGTACAACTCTTATCAGAATCCATACATGCATCCATTGTGTCAAGCACATTTGTACATTTGTTGCCATCATCATTCTCAAAACATTTGCTTTCTACTTGATATCAGCTCCTCATTTTTCTCCCTCCCTATCCGCTACCCCCTCCCTCATGAACCCTTGAATTTATAAATTATTATTGTTTTGTCATATCTTACACTGTCCGATGTCTCCCTTTACCCCCTTTTCTGTTGTCCATCCCCCAGGGAGGAGGTTATATGTAGATCTTT